GAAGTGCGATGTCTTCATTAGAAACAGAGCAGATTGAAGATTTCACACAGCCTGAAATCAGACGAATAAAAGAGAATCTAGCTAAAATTCCTTATATAGGACCATATAAATTGTTGTGACGTTTTCACGAAACTATAAGTACGGATATAGTATAAATTCTGAAAACAAATTATTACACAAATTAATTACATTAAATTATGTAAAATGCTCTCTCAGAAATTCTTTTTCAAATTGATCAGAAATAGTGATCGTCGAGTCATCTAATTGACGTTCATTGTCGCGCGATTGCGTCGTCAAGCATGCTAAAATCTTGGAAATTCCTTGGGAAAAGCTCGACTGAAACGGCGCGTTAAGATTTCCTTCAAACATGCAGAAACCATGGGAACATGGACTGTTGGGCAAACGTGGTGGGTTCTCGAACTGGCGAAGACAAATAGGTAGCACGTGGCAGCGATTAATGTCAGCCGTCACGGTTGCACGGAGTTACGATCGCGCCGTTTTTCCGATTCTGTCCGTCTCGTCGAGTGTTGTTGTTCGAAGAATTAGCCGGCTCTTCCCGATTTCTGCTCTATTTCATCGATCTTCCCGCGAATATACACGAAACCGTTTGCCATCCTCTTGACGATGGTGAAAGTATGTATTTTTCATTTTTTCGCAGAATTCTTCGATCGTCGAAGAATCCACTTTTTCGAAAAAAAAGTGATGACCGAAAAGCGTCGGAATTATTCGTTCGAATAAAAGTAAAAAAATTGGAACTACGATCGAATATTATGATTCAGTATCACGTGGCAGCGGGGTTATTTGCGTTGATACATTCTGTAATAGATAATCGCGGATCATTAATCTCGCTTGCGTCACGATTCGAGATAATGAAATTTTAAGAATGCCGTACAAAATTCCCTCCATCTTGCTCGTCGCTGCGTCAAGTTTCCCTCTCAAGGCCGTCACTTTTCAGCGGATAATTGAAATTCATGCACGAGGCTTAGAAATAAAAGTGGCAAATACGCGAGCACACTGGCAAAATGTGAGAATGCAGGTAAACTATAAAACAGAAGTGAAATTGACTATATGCACGCGAAGTCATTTACGAGGAAATGCCAAGTATATATAATTTTTAGCTTGTGGAAGCTCGCGCCCGTGCTCCGAAACGAGGAGAAAAATTTTACGACGTTAAGGTTTTATAATAAATTCGCCAAGTATATATAAATAATAAATTCGCCAAGTATTTATAATAAATTCGCCAAGTATATATAATTTTTGGCTTGTGGAAGCTCGCGCCCGTGCTCCGAAACGAGGAGAAAAATTTTATGACGTTAAGGTATTTTATAATAAATTCGCCAAGTATATATAATTTTTGGCTTGTGGAAGCTCGCGCCCGTGCTCCGAAACGAGAAGAAAAATTTTACGATGTTAAGGTTTTACAATAAATTCGCCAAATATATATAAATAATAAATTCGCCAAGTATATATAATTTTTGGCTTGTGGAAGCTCGCGCCCGTGCTCCGAAACGAGGAGAAAAATTTTACGACGTTAAGGTATTTTATAATAAATTCGCTGAACTTTACCAAGTTCAGTTTCAAATTTTAAATTTAATTCGCGGAGAGCGAATATCGATCATAGGATTGTCGAAATTATGAAAAAGGTGGACGTTCGAAGTTTGAAGTGTCAATTAAAAATTAAGAACGTTTCGAAGCAGTATTCTAACTATCTTTCTGATTAGCATAAGTCTGCGTTACGTCAGGAGCCTCGTGCATAATAAGTAATCGAGCAACGCAGTGAATGACTGAATATTCCGCGTTTCGATAATAATAGAAATGATACGCTCGTTTTCCTGATTCAGCTAGAAAATCATTTAAAACTTTAAATTGTTCCCTCTTCGCGTCGAATTCTGGTCTTTGAAACGATCAGATCTAGCTTTAAATTTTTCAACGACTCGTCGAATTCTGGTTTTCCAATGGCCATCAGATCTAGTTTTAAATAATATTGCGGCGAAAGTATTTTAACATTTTTAATGATAGTTAACAACAGTTGAAATTATAGAAATTATAAAAATTATAAAACAATATTTTTACAATATTTTTATAATTTTCATAATTTACAATATTTTTATACATGGCTCTGTTTGTACATAAGATACGCAGTATAAGCGTAGAAATATTTTTTTCTCGAGCCACTGTGTGCGGCACAACAATTCTCGCAGTGTGTTTTCTAATTGTCCTGTTTCTCGCGTAATGGCGTAACGACGTCTTTATCTTTATATCTTTGATAAGCGCACTAATAAAAAAGAAGAAACTTTCGATTTTATCGGCGTCGTTTTTCGCGGGCGGAGAGACACAGAGAGACGGTGTGCGTCGACCTTGTTCCCAACAAGGTGTGTGCACACCGTTTGGCGGGCAAATTTGCATAAATAACTGATAAAGTGGAAGCAGTTTCGAGTTTTTTTTTTTTTTTTTTCTTTTTTCTATCGCCGGGTTTATCCGTTTACCTTTCGTGAACGTGACGCAACGAAAATTGGCTAATTAGTCCGCCCACTTATTTGCTCTCTTTCCCATCCCACTCTCTGCTTCTTTTAAGCCAGCTCGGCGGCTCTGATTATCGAGCCGAGAATTAGAGCCACCGATGACACGTTTTTCCCCAACGCTGGATAGAACCACCTCTGGAATCTTTCGTGCTGGAGATATCTGAAAAAAGTTCATCGACATTAGATTAGGCTCCTCGGCTACCTTCGAGGTAACTCGATTTTCTTCTCCTATGGTTGTAATGCAGGTTGTCGCGCAGCTACATTGTCTCCTTCCTTCAAAGGGTGCGTCATTTAATTTTCATTTTTCTGAAAGGTGTTTCGCGTCGCGAAAGACGAGACCAGAAGTAGGCAATGGAAATAAAAAAAAAAAATTGGAAATAACATTTATTTAACTTAAAACGCATCGAAGTACATGCATGCATATGTAACGAGTAAAGCTACGCAGTATTTTTCTCGCGATAACATGTCATTATAGTATTTCTGTTAATTAACTACTGGCTATGTCATCGTACTTGTTTTTTATTCTATTGGCAACAGTCTCAATATTGATGTTACATCTTTATGTTATTAGTATATAAATCTTATAGATATTATTGCTATTGTATTAATAAAATCGTATTCTTATTATTTGCTAATGTTACTAGCGTTGCTATGGCATCGTTAGGTTCTAATAAACAATCCTATCGAAACATT